AGAGAGAGAGAGAGAGAGAGAGAGAGAGAGAGAGAGAGAGAGAGAGAGAGAGAGAGAGAGAGAGAGAGAAAAAAAAAACTTTGATTTGCAATATGGAAGGTTGTTATGATGTGGACGTTTTCTTGGCTCTCTTCACTGCATGATATTTGCTTACCTTGCAGTAAACACGTGTCTCTGGGCACCACGTATTTCGTTTATTGTGTCTTATTGAATGAACATTTCTTTAATCAATGGTGTTGCTATTTGTGTCACTACATTTAACATCTCCCTTGAAAAAGTATCGAAGTTTGAAATTCAATTTGTATGTTGGACTTCCCTTTACTTTTTTTTTCTTTTTTTTCGGGCGTGCGTATCAGACTCCTATGACACGGCCAGTCCCTTCAGTGCATACTTTTTTTTTTTTTTTTTGGTGGCGACACATGCATTGTTCGTTTTTTTTGGGGGGGTCTGATTGGCGGAATGCCGCATACCCACCGTCCGTGTGTCGGAAAAAGGGGGTTGCAAATGGAATGGTCCCTCTAGCCATTCCGTTCGTCCTTGTAGCCAACCTGTGCACTGTCACCGACGCGTGACGAACATTTGCCACGAACACGATATGACCTGTCCACGCAGGCGGTGGCCAGACGACATCTTCGCGTTCGGACTCCTCGTCGCTCACTGCCTTTGTCGCCGCCATCGCGGTCCCGACGTCATCTTCATGCCGCGACACCGTTCCTTTCCGCGCAGTGTGTGTCTCGCCGCCATTTCTCTCTCCAAATGTCGCCAGACGTCATCTCCACGTTGGGACTCCTGTTCGCGCAGTGTGTGTCTCGCCGCCATCCCTCTCGCCAGACTTCATCTTCACGCTGCGACTCCTGTTCGCGCACTGTGTGTCTCGCCGCCATCTCTCTCGCCAGACGCCGTTTTCGCTAGACGTCGTATTCACGCTTGGACTCCACCTGCGCAGACTTTCCCTCGCCGACATCGTTCTCGCCCTTCCTTCTTCTAGTCATCGCTGTCTGTCTTCTCCGCGATGACGAATACTCGCAACTCTGGCAAGGGGAAAAGGGAGAGGGACTCTCAGAAAACGGAAGCTGCCGGCGTCGTGAAGCGGGGGAGGCATCAGGCGAAGAAGCCCAAGGCATCAAGCGGCGGTGCTCTGGTGATCGGGAGGTCCGCGTGGGAAGAATGGGTTGACGAGGCCAGCAGCGGACAGGACGACGATTTCGAATCGGAGGCGGACACGTTTCATGCGAGGAAAGGGACCTTGCGTGACGTGTCGAACGCGAGAATGGTGAGCGGAGAGGAGGGCGTCGACGGTGGTAAAGATGGGGGTCACGGGGTTGCGCGAGGCAAGGGTGAGGCGACCGGCGACGTGGGAGGTGGTGTTGCTGCCAGGGAGGTTTGTAGCCAGCCGACGACCCTTGCCATGCGCGGCGCCGTGCCGTCGAAGGACGTGCAGGCCGCCCAGGACGTCGGTAAACACCTGCCAATGCGGGCGCCTTCAAACCCAGCGACGCCCACGGCGGGATAGGCGAGAAGGGATGAAGGGGCGGGGGTGAATGCGGCAGTCAGGGGACAGCTTGCAACGCGCATTCCCGCAAAGGAAGCTGCAACGGTGGGAGCCGTCATTGGTACATCGACGGCAGGCACGGGGGGGGGCGGTGGCGACGGTCGTGATGATGCTGATGACGACGATCCCCTCATTAACAGGCAGAGGCGGTCCGGAAACATGACGGCTCTGGAGGCGAAAGCGAAACTGTGGGTAGACGATCTGCGTTTCTGGAACGAGACGGAGGGGCATGGGATATTCAAGATCACCCAGGAGACACGCCTGCACCTCATCGTCATCGCGAAGGGTGTGAAACCGCCGGGGATCAGAAAAAGCGTTGTCCTCCCGAACGCCACGATTCCTCAGCAGAAGCTGGAAGACTCGTCGGAGTTGGGGGCCGCGAAGGAGAGGGCTTCGAGGGTGCAGACCATAGCGTTGCGCATCATCCATGGGTGGATCTTCAAGTCCCCCAATCGTGCGCGTGGGTACCACTGCTCGTACGGCTATGTGCTGAACCACGTCGCCACAGACCTCGCCCGCGCCATCTGGTTTGGAGAGGACTGGCGGGTATGTGTGAGTCCGGCGGTCGTCCATAACACCTTGGAGCTTCATATGAAGCTCCCCATCTGGTACGTAGGTGGCGTCATACATGACAGGCACGAGGACGACGAAATGGCGTTGTATCAGGAGTCCACAATGCAGCGTCTCGTAAGAGCTTTCACGAATGCTGTTGACACGGGGGAGGGGGTAGACGACGGGCGGATATCGTACGAGAGGCTGAGGAACGTAGCTGACTGCATGCGCCTTTTGTTGTCTGCCGCCATGTGGATCATGTGGATGGCGGGAGATAATCTCCGTTCGCACTATGAGGCGTCCCATCTTGTGGAGCTCATTGCGAAATCGACGCTCATTGCGTCGCTGCATCGCTCGTTCGACGCTCGCCGCCATGTTCTGCAGTGTGTCAATGCAGTAACGGAGAAAATGGGGAAGCCCCCCATGACGTTGGTCGACCCTCCGGTGTACATCCCCGACTGGGTTTCGTGTGGGGTGTCGTTCCACAACGACGCCACGTTGACGTCTCCTGAGCTCACCATACGACTAAATTGGTTAGGCACCGAACCTCCGGAGATTGATGATGAAGACGAGGAGAAGGACGAAGGCGGGGAATCGTGACGGCAGGCGCTGTGGACGACTACGGAGAAAATGGGGAAGCCGGCCGCCCCTGCTGCTGATGACGACGATGATGTCGACGATGAGGACGTTGATGATGATGGTGATGATGGTGATGATGGTGATGATGGTGATGATGGTGATGGTGATGATGATGGTGATGATGGTGACGATTATGATGATGATGGTGATGGTGATGATGACGATGAGGACGTTGATGATGACGATGATGATGGTGATGATGATGATGGTGATGATGACGATGATGATGATGATGACGATGTTCACGATTAAAGAGGATGATGACGACGACGATGATGATGACTAAGGTGGTGATGGTGATGACGACGATGGTGGCGACGACGACGATGTCATCGACGATGTTGGGGACAGGAGTTGGCATGGCGTGTGAATAGTCGTTGCGCTAGTTTCGTAGACTGTCTTCTACTTCCTTTGCGTTGAGTCGTTTCCTGTTGTCAAAGCGGTTGCCGAGTACGGGTGAGAGCTCGGTTTCATCTAGCTGACAGCAAAGTGTAGTCGACATGCACATCTTTTCATTCAAGGGGCCAGTCATCGGCGAATGTGCGGTGTCATTAATGTCCATCGTGTCTATGCGCATCATTGATGCTAATTTGATATCGTGTGCTATGGCGAACGTTCGTTTTATATCGCAGACGTGTTTTCTTATGTTTGTTCTTTCCGATCGCAAAGCTTCCATGTAAAGTTGTGGGTGATAAGGTGAATGAATTCTGCGTGAGAGATTGACGTTTTCGGTCAGTGACCTTCTTTGTCGCGCACTCATCGTTCAACCATTCACAACACTTTTACGAAGATGAAGACGAATAATTGGCAACAGATCATACGCACTCCAACATTTGGACCATGGACATATGTGAAGTCAAATGAATGCTATCATCAATGGCTTGCACTCATTCACATCATCTCGCACGTAAGTGTGCCCTCATCTCGGCACGCAGGGCACATGAAAGGGAGAGAGAATAGTCCACGACAAGCACTAAGACTCGGCGAACATAAAACAATAATCATCAAACCCTTGTGAACAAATAAAAAGTACATTGTGCACAGTACTGCGCTTCGGAAATCGGGGAAAAGGAACCCGGATGCATGCATGCGTCTGTCGCACACCACAGACCCGAATACCGCATCCATGCGGTTCACAGACAACAGTGATCGGCCGCCACCACCACATCTGCCGCCCTATGGCTTGCGCATAAACTGGGGATAAAGCACTATTCAATCCAATGTGAAAGCACGAATCGAAAGAAAACATAAAGCAAAAACGCTCGTCGACTATCTGAATGTGCAGGTCACACTGGAGGGGGAGTACTAGACTACACAGACGTTCTCCGGTCTTCGTCCGACAATGACGACGATGACTTCGACGACATCACACGATCTACTGTCTCCTTCGTCTCTACGCACGCTGCTTCCTTCTACTGCCGCCATCAAACGCCCTTCCACGTACGCAGCTTACATCTACTTCCGCTCCGCGCCTCCGACAACTCTCATCGCTGCATCATTCGCTCCGCCAGTGCTTCACGCAGCATGACCGCTTCCCCCGTAGAAGTTTCCATGCACAAAGGCCTGGGGGGGCGCTGGATCCCAAGATCCACTCGACGGCGAACTCCCTTGGCGTCCACCTCCCACAGCAAGTTCTCATCGAAAGGAATCCCGACGTCAATTAGGATGTTGTGCAAGATGCAGACGGCCACGAACTGCTGCGGCAAGGTCTCCATGTTTGTCTTGTGCGACCCAAGGAACAAATGCCACATTCCCTTCAGTCTCCCGAAGGCCCTCTCCACCGCCCCCCTCGCCGTCTTCTGTTTGTTGTCGAAACGGGCCTCGAACGGAGTCTGCGCCGTGCTGCCATAGGGGACAACCATCCATTCGCTCGGCGGGTAACCACTGTCGGCCAGCAGATAACCATTGGTCTGCACTTGGAACGGTAGCAACACAGGAGGCCCTGTGAACAACTCGCCCGCCACCGCACGCGACCAAAGACTGGACAGATGGATGACCCAGACGTCGTGGCAGCTACCCGGATAACCCATGAACACATTGAGGACGCGCAAGTCCAAATCCACCACAACTTGAGCAACGACAGAGAATCGTCTCTTGCGGTCGTAGTAGTCTTCTGGAGCCGTGTTTGCCGGCTTGTCGATGTAGATATGGGTGCAATCGATGCACCTATGACAGTTCGGGAAACCCTTGTCCGCAAAAGCACGCAGAACAACCGCCTTCCGCACCCCAGTCGGCCACGCCACCTTCTCCCTGTACACCGAAAGCAGCGCAGCTGTGACGTCCCGGACGGCCACCAAACCCGAAGCCCTGCCAATTCCAAAGCTGCAGATGATGCTCTCGTATGTCTCGCCAGACGCCCATCTGTAAAGCGCGTACGCGACGATGTGGTCTGGCTGCAAAGGCTCTCTGTAGAACGTCACACGTCGCTCGAGAATCGGCGTCAAGTTCTCAACGATCTCACGGAAGACACGTGGAGACATCCGTAATTTGTCGCGGAAGTAGTCTTCAGTGGCGTCGTCTGCAGGCCGAAGATCCTCCCAGGTCCCCCCCATCCTTCGTTTCACCCACCACCTCGGGGTCGCCCTAGGCAGTCCACCACACCCCAGAGCGCAGCATACCTCAAAGACGGCGTCACATATGGCGACGCTATCCAACCCTTCACACGTCGGTGGCTGCATCGCCTTCCTTCTTCGAGCGCGTAGCCGTGCCCACCGTCGTTCACCTTCGACCTCCGTCTCGCAATGCATGATGACGGCGGCGACGACGGACGTCACTGCAGCCCTCTCCAAAGCGGACAACCTTGGCCCGCCCTCATCCCTGCCACCGACCGGAAGCATATCCACCAGGGAAGACATCGCACTCATCCACACCGCCAGAAGTCGCCCAAACGACCACACAAGGCCGCCACCAATGGGCACTGCCAATGAAGAAGTTCGCGGAGATGGCGTTCGGGGCAGAATGCGCGAAAGCGAACACGCAAGACGGCGGTGGCGCTCACTGCTGCTGTCGTAACCAGGGTGCGTCACGTCTTCTAATATGTGGCGACGTCTGTGCTGATGCCCAAACGGCCGTTGGCCGTTTCCGCATGACGCCCACTACAACACCCATGTGCTTCCCCGATGGGGCCGTCAAACGCACGCATCTCCCCGCCCCGCCGCACCAGACGCCACGCTTGGCCAATTCAAATTTCGAATTTTGAAATCACACGCGCGCGCGCTTAATTTTCCTTTTCCCTTGGCGGCGGCAGTCCCTTTTCAAATTCGCCGCCCATACGCGGTGGACCAAGTCCAGCCAGATGGACACCACACGAAGGACCATTGGCCAAACACTCATTCCGCGGCCGCATATAACATTATACGACTCCCGGCGGCCAGTCCTCGGAGCATCCTCGGGGATCGTCCCGAGAGACGAGTGGAACGAATGCGGGAAAATCCTCGGGCTGCCCCGAGGATTTCCCCTCGGAGCCCGAGGACGCCCCGAGGAGTGTCTAACGAGCGCCCTAGCTCAACGAAAAAGCGGAAGGGTAGGCCCGGTAGGGGCATTGTAAACGACTGTTCAATGTTTTTCAGTGCTAGTAGGAATAAATACAAATGGGATTCGGACAGAACAAAATAAACGTGAAAATCGACCACGTGATTTCGAGAACTCCTCGAACCTCCAGCGTTGTGGCAGGTCACACGTGGTTGAAAACTCAACAAGGACCTGCCTCAACGCTGCTAGTGGGACAAGGTCCCTGGGGCCGGTCACCTGTGGATAGATCTCTAGACTGTCACCCTTTAACAAGAAAAACTAAAAATAAATGTTTTGATGAATATGCTTTGTCAAGGGCAGGACTTGTGCTCACAAGTGGATCATAGTGATTCCCCTAGGACTTGGCGCAGTCGGTCCAGTTGATGTAGTATGTAGCTCAGTGGTTAGAGCCAGGGTTGTCACCCGGGGACCCCCGGGGGCAAAGCCGGGGCCGGGATTTCACCCCCGGACCCCCTCCCGTGGGGGCGCCGGCCCCCGGACCCCGCAATCAACCCCTGCGCCCACCCGACCCCCGGCACCCCCGCGGGACCCCGGCCCC